TTATATTATTATTTTATGTTATATTGTATTATATTATTATTTTATGTTATATTATATTATATTATATTATATTATATTATTATATTATTTTATATTATATTGTATTATATTATTATTTTATGTTATGTTATATTATATTATATTATTATTTTATATTATATTATATTATATTATATTATAAATATTTTTATTTTATATTATATTGTAATATATTATATTATATTATATTATATTATATTATATTATATTATATTATTATTTTATTTTATATTATATTACATTATATTATATTATATTATATTATATTATTATTTTATGTTATATTGTATTATATTATTATTTTATGTTATATTATATTATATTATATTTTATTATTATATTATATTATATTATATTATATTATATTATATTATATTATATTATATTATATTATATTATATTATATTATATTATTTTATATTAATAGATCACTACTGTGTATCAGGTATCTGAGCAGAAACAGGCTGATGATGCTGGTGCTGAACTCAGAGTGAACTCATCTGTAATGGTGTTACTGGTGTCTGGATGAATCCAGCAGGAAGCCTGTATTCTGAGCCAGACATCACTGATGATCCTTCAGTCATCCAGACGCTGAACAGAGCTGTAAATAATCAGACTCAGACTGACGGGGGGTGTTCTGTGGTTCAGACGCTCAGATCCGTGTCTCCCGCTGATCCCTCATGTTGTGAATTGCAGGACACTGAAGCGGCGCTGAGATGTTTTTATCACGGGATTGAAGCAGACGTGAGAATCACGGATCCCAGAACTGTCTGATCACGCCTCCGTCAGTCTGTACTGTAATGATCATACAGTGAACACAACACAAGTGTACTGCGGCTGATCAGGAGTTTGGATCATCAGTTGGAAATGTTGTTTTTCTAGACACTCAGTAAGTTTCCTCGTATATTCAGGTTAAACAGTCTCATAGTGGAACAGGAGATTGAGGAGAATGTTGTTAGCTGAACCAGGTAATCATGTGGGGCCTGTACTATGAAGCAGGATTACACTGGGTTTTAGGTACCATGAAAATACATCCGCTTTCATTGCTCTTTGTTGTATCTTATCCTATTCCAGTGGATGTTGTGGTTATGTTCTGGTTATTTTCAGGATATGTTTACGTTATGTTCTAGTTTAGATATAACAAACTGAGATTCCACCAACTCAGCAAAGTGAACATGTTCAGGATATGTTCAAGGTATGTTCAGGATATTTATGGGTTATATTTTCGTTTAGAGATTAAAACCTGAGATTCCACTAATCAACTGAGCAAAGTGATTATGTTCAGGTTATGTTCTGGTTATGTTTATGATATGTTCAGGTTATGTTCTGGTTATGTTCATGATATGTTCAGGTTATGTTCTGGTTTAGATATAACAAACTGAGATTCCATCTATCAACTGAGCAATTCGACTATGTTCAGGTTATGTTCAGGATATGTTTATGCTAATCAACTGAGTAACGTGACTATGTTTAGGATATGTTTGGGATATGCTCAAGTTATGTTCCTCTTATATGTAGGTTATGTTCAGGTTATTTTTTAGTTTAGGCATCACAAACTGAAATTACACCAATCATCTGAGCAATGTGGGAATGTCCAGGATATTTTGAAGTTATGTTCAGGTTATGTTCATATTATGTGGAGGTTAAATTCTAAATAATTTAAGGTTATGTTCTGGTTTAGATATCACAAACCAGGATTATACCAGTCATCTATGAATACTTTGTTGTTTTATTGTCAGGTTATCTTTAGGTTATGTTCAGGTTATTTTCAGGATATAAAATGTTCTGGTTTAGAAATAATAAATTAAGATTCCATCTATTAACTGAGCAAAGTGGCTGTGTTCAGGATATGTTTGGGACATTTCAGGGATATATTTTGGTTTAGAGGTCACTAACTGAGATTCCACTAATCAACCGAGCAAAGTGATTATCTGGTCATGTTCTGGTTTTGTTCAGGATATGTTAAGGTTATGTTCTGGTTTAGATATCACAAACTGAGATTACACCAATCAACTGAACAACATGACTATGTTAATGATATGTTTGGGATATGTTCAAGTAATGTTTATATTATTTGTAGGCTATGCTTAGGGTATGTTCAGGCTATGTTCTAGTTTAGGCATCACAAACTGAGATTCCACTAATCAACTGTGCAGGATATGTACAGGATATATTGAAGTTATGTTCAGGTTAAGTTCATATTATGTGCTTGTTATATCCAGGATAATTTCAGGTTATGTTCTGGTTTAGATATCACAAACCTGGATTCTACCAGTTAACTGTGAATACTTACTACGTTCATGATATATTTCAGGATATGTTCAGGCACTGTTTTTGTTGTATGTTAAATAATATTTTCAGGTTATCTTTTGGTTATGTTCAGGAGTTTTTCAGATTATCTTCGGGTTATATTCAGGTTTTATGTCCAAGTTATCTTTAGGATATGTTCAGGATTTCCTCAGATTATGTTTAGGTTATGTTGAGGATATCTTCAGGTTATGTTCAGGTTTAGAGATCATGTGAAAATAAAGCCACTCCAGCAGTTTCTCCTGTTCCATATTAAATGTTTCTCTTCAGTAAATTGTTTTAGAAATAAAATTGTCTGTTTGTAGTGAAGATTATTATAATTATTTGATATGAATTATGTAATCATTATATCCATGATCACTGCATATTATAAACAATCTTATTTTAGCAGTTTCGCCTCAGTTTAACAGTCCTCCTTCAATTCTAGATTTAAATCTCATGACAAAGTTTAACATTTCTAAATTAACACTTCACAGTTGCCATCTTGCATTTCTGAGTTTATGTTCCACAATTCTGAGAAAGTCTTTAGTTGTGAATGTATATCGTAATGCATTTACCTTTTTTAAATCTGAGTTCTCATCTGTGATTGGCTGTTTGCTGCTGATGCCCCGCCTTCATCTGCACATGCTCATAAACTCAGGATCAACGTCAGTTAGTTGAAGTTCAGCTTCAAGCTAACAGTACAGTCTGAGCACACTGCTGTGGTTTAGTCAACCCCAGACTGATCCTGTAATCCTGAGTTTGTTCAGCCTCCATCGTGGAACAGGTTTGATGAACTGCTGAGTGTTTCTGTTTGAGTTTCTGAAGCTGTTTGTTCTCTCAGGTTGAGAAGAATGAAGAGGCCGATCAGGAGATCAAGCAGGATGGAATCAAACCGGAGGAAAACGCTCACAAGGCGGCCACCAAGATCCAGGCCAGCTTCCGCGGACACATCACCCGGAAAAAGATGAAGGACGGAGAGAAAGAGGAGGAGAACGGAGAAGTGCCGGAGGAGCAGGAGGAGGAGAAACCGACTGACGCCTCCACAGAAACACAGGAGGACCCCAAACCAGAGCAGCCTAACTCCCCAGCAAATGAAGCCCCGCCCACTGCTGCAGCGGACCCTGCCCCCTCAGACACGCCCGCCAAAGAGGAAGTGAAGGAGCCGCAGCAGGAAGTGGAGAAGCCAAAAGAGGAGGAGCCAAGCTCGGCGGCTGCAGACGAGAAACCTGAAGAAGAAGGCAATGCACAGAAAGAGGAGAAAGAGGAGGAGAAACCAGCCGACGTGCCTGAAGCTGAGAGCCAGGAGACACACCAAATAGACAAACCAGGTCAGTTTCAGCTCTGGACACCTCATTCACTCTGTGTACACACACCTACTGTCCACCGCTGGAACATGCGTAATGGAGACTCTTAGAGACACAGACACGTTCACATCTCTGAGTTTACATCTGTCAATTCTGAGTTTACGAATCGCATCTCTGAGATCACGTCTCGCATTTCTGAGTTTACGTCTCGCATCTCTGAGTTTACGTCTCACATTTCTGAGTTTACGTCTCACATTTCTGAGTTTACGTCTCACATTTCTGAGTTTACGTCTCACATTTCTGAGTTTACGTCTCGCATTTCTGAGTTTACGTCTCACATTTCTGAGTTTACGTCTCACATTTCTGAGTTTACGTCTCACATTTCTGAGTTTACGAATCGCATTTCTGAGTTTACGTCTCACATTTCTGAGTTTACGTCTCACATTTCTGAGTTTACGAATCGCATTTCTGAGTTTACGTCTCACATTTCTGAGTTTACGTCTCGCATCTCTGAGTTTACGTCTCACATTTCTGAGTTTACGAATCGCATTTCTGAGTTTACGTCTCACATCTCTGAGTTTCAACTCGCATTTCTGAAATCACATCTCACATCTCTGAGTTTACATCTCGCATTACTGAGTTTATGTCCACATCTCTGAGTTTACGTCTCACATCTGAGGTTTTGTCTCGCATCTTTGAGTTCACGTCCCACATCTGAGTTTACTTCCCACATCTGAGTTTATGTCTCACATCTAAGTTTAAGTGTCACATCTGAGTTCACAACTCGCATCTCTGAGTTTACGTCTCACACCTGAGTTTACATCCACCATCTGAGTTTACGTCTCGCATTTCTGAGTTTACGTCTCACATCCGAGTTTACGTCTCACATTTCTGAGTTTACGTCTCACATTTCTGAGTTTACGTCTCACATCCGAGTTTACGTCTCACATTTCTGAGTTTACGTCTCACATTTCTGAGTTTACGTCTCACATTTCTGAGTTTACGTCTCACACCTGAGTTTACATCCACCATCTGAGTTTACGTCTCGCATTTCTGAGTTTACGTCTCACATCCGAGTTTACGTCTCACATTTCTGAGTTTACGTCTCACATTTCTGAGTTTACGTCTCACATCCGAGTTTACGTCTCACATTTCTGAGTTTACGTCTCACATTTCTGAGTTTACGTCTCACATTTCTGAGTTTACGTCTCACATCTGTGTTTACGACTCGCATCTGAATTTACGTCTCGATTTCTGAGTTTACGTCTCATTTTTCTGAGTTTACGTCTCGCATTTCTGAGTTTACGTCTCGCATCTCTGAGTTTACGTCTCATATTTCTGAGTTTACGTCTCATATTTCTGAGTTTACGTCTCGCATTTCTGAGTTTACGTCTCATATTTCTGAGTTTACGTCTCGCATTTCTGAGTTTACGTCTCATATTTCTGTGAGTTTACGTCTCGCATTTCTGAGTTTACGTCTCACATCTGAGTTTACGTTCCCACATCTGAGTTTACGTCTCACATCCGAGTTTACGTCTCACATCTGAATTTATGACTCGCATGTCTGAGTTTACGTCTCACATCTGAGTTTACTTCTTGCATTTCTGAGTTTACGTCTCACATTTTTGAATTTATGTCCACATTTCTGAGTTTATGTCTCACATCTCTGAGTTTACGACTCACATGTCAGAGTTTACGTCTCACATCTGAGTTTACGACTCGCATCTGAGTTTACATCTCGCATTTCTGAGTTTACGTCCACATCTCTGAGTTTACGTCTCATATTTCTGAGTTTACGTCTCACATTTCTGAGTTTACGTCTCACATTTCTGAGTTTACGTCTCACATTTCTGAGTTTACGTCTCACATTTCTGAGTTTACGAATCGCATTTCTGAGTTTACGTCTCGCATTTCTGAGTTTACGTCTCATATTTCTGAGTTTACGTCTCATATTTCTGAGTTTACGTCTCACATTTCTGAGTTTACGTCTCGCATTTCTGAGTTTACGTCTCATATTTCTGAGTTTACGTCTCATATTTCTGAGTTTACGTCTCACATTTCTGAGTTTACGTCTCACATTTCTGAGTTTACGTCTCATATTTCTGAGTTTACGTCTCACATTTCTGAGTTTACGTCTCATATTTCTGAGTTTACGTCTCATATTTCTGAGTTTACGTCCACATTTCTGAGTTTACGTCTCGCATCTCTAAGTTTACGTTTTGCATTTCTGGGTTTACATTTGACGTTTCTAAATTCATGTCTTATTCCTGATTTTGTCTCATATTTCTGGCTTTTCGACTCTTTGTCTAACAGTTCTTGGTTTGCGATGTTCAGTTGTTTTTCAGTTTTAGTTTTCTTCACAGTTTATATCTCTATTTGTTCTGTTTTAAAGTTTGATTTCTAAGAAGAACAGTGTGAATTGATCTAAATGTTTTCTGTGCTGTTTCAGACGCTGCTGAGGAATCCAAACCAGCAGAGGGAGCCGTTTCAGACGCCGGCACAGAGGAGAGTGTTTAACGGAGGACCAGTGCAATGTAGAATCCCAGATGATCCACAGGCCCGCCGACAGCCTGCTTTATGTTCGTCCTCTTTTCTGGTGTGGCCTGATTTCTGCGGTTTGCGGGAGGTTTGGAAGCGTGTGCTGGAGATCAGGACTCAGACCTCCGTCTTTCTCCAGCGCAGTAAACCTCCTCATACATGTGGCTTCTTTTCATGTCCGTGGTGTTGTTATGAGCGTTTAATTGGAGATATCGCTGCACTGATGATGTTAAAATCCACAAAATCCAACAAAAAAGAAAAAGCGCCGGCCTTTCTGTTCCAGTCAGGAGTAAACTCGTGGAAAATGGTTTCATGTCTGTTTTCAAAATAAAGAAATGTGCCAATTATGTTAAAGATGTGTGTGTGTGTGTGTGTGTGCGCGTGTGTGTGTGTGGTTTGTCAGATCATATTAGCAGGATTAATCTGAATTTAGCAGAAAATAAACACAGACATGTCTTTCCAGTAGGGTCTGATTATGTAACAGTAGTTAATGCATTCATTAATTATTGCACTGCTTGTTCATTAAGTCATGTCAGGCTCCATTAAGCACTATTATCATTAACAGATTAAATGCTTTAGAAGTGTTTTAATTGCTCATTCATTTGAATGTAAATGAATGTTAACAGAGGAAAGTATTGTACCGCATTAATACACACACACTGCGCACTGGTGTCTGATACTACTGAAGACTCGAGACTTGAGCTGATGTTGAGTGGACGTGACCATTTCCTCATGCAGTGGAATAATTATCATACATGTACTGTAGGCTCATATCATTTATAACCCACTGCTTTAATTGTGTGTAATTAACTCCTCAATAGGGGCGGCATGGTGGTCGCTGGTTTGAGTCTCGGCTGGGTCAGTTGGTGTTTCTGTGTGGAGTTTGCCTGTTTTCCCCATGTTGGCGTGGGTTCGAAGGGCATCAACTGTGTAAAACAGGGGTGTCCACACTCGATCCTGGAGGGCCGGTGTCCTGGGGAGTTGAGCTCCAGCCCTAATCAAACACACCTGAACATGCTAATCAAGCTCTTACTAGCTATACTTCAAACTTCCAGGCAACCTCCAGGACCGACTTTGGATACCCCTGGTGTAAAACATATGCTGGATAAGTTGGCGGTTCATTCCGCTGTGGCGACCCCTGATTAATAAAGGGACTAAGTCAAAAAGAAAATGAATGAATGAATGAATGAGAATTATCTGTTGTCTTTTTAGACCTGAATCATGAACTGTTTTAGGCCTAATCTTACCTGCCCGACTCTTCATCCTTCTTTTCTGCTTCATAGCATGTTTAGTTAAAATAAGATCATCATCATATTGTTTTAATTTTTGTTTTGTCCACTTGCAAAACTTACACAGGTTTCACAATGCATAATCGCTGCGTATTTTTTCGACGTGTCCCAGAGTTGCAAAAACTTCTTTCTAAGTATTTTGAATGTACACTTGCTTTATTAAAATGAAAGAATGTCCAAGACAAAGCTAATAAGTGTCTTATGAGTATATGTACACTAGC